GTATGTTTTTCAAAAGCAAAACTTTACAGCGTTTAACTAAGTAATTTTATTCAAGTTATGCGCACTAGGGTGATCGTAAACTGCTAATGACTTTCAATTTAGGCAAGATTTACTGTATCCAGTTAGATGCAAAAGCTAAAAAAATATTTCCTATCATAAATGCTGAAAGTACCAGGTTGACCGAGCTTTGCTCAGAATACATATACTTTTTAAGATTTTCATGGTTTGAGTTTCAAATACTGGTCATTTGGATAACTTTCAAAATAGTATTTTGGAATAAATAAAAAAATGGCCTTTTATTACTTATAAAGTAGGTAAATTTCTTACTTTAAAAATTAGGTGGCAACCCTGTATATAAATACGCTGGGATGAATAGTACGCGTATTTGTGCTCTGTGTGCATATAAAACAAATATATTGAAATTAACAAAATACTTGTATTACAAAAAAACGTGACAACCCTCAACGAAAATATTTTCTTATTAAAGTTCTCAAAAATACCTTTCATTTGATACCCACACTGGGATATTTTAGCTAAATTTTGTGGAATGGAAAATAAGTGGCAACCTAATATTAATATTCTAAGGATAACAAATATTATATAAGCAAAGCATTATTTAGAGCCTTATGTTAGTATTCAAGAATAGTAGTATTGTACTTTTGTTTTCTGAACAAAAAGTTAAATACATATGCGATTCAAAATAGGTGGCAACCTTATCGAAATATATTTCAAATTAATAATATTATTTTTTATATAAAATGCAACTAATTTTGAATGGGTGGCAACCTCATACGAGCATTTTTGGTGATAATACCCATTTAGAGATACTTACAAGAAAGTATAAAACACTTTGGTTATACCAAACGAGATAAATGAGTTCCGCCCAAGCCTCAAGTTTGAAGGGACGTTTTTAGGTGAACAGCGCTACAAGTACAAAGCCTTCTATAGCCATGCATTCGTGCGAGAGTGCCATAGGTAGTGAGCACCATTATTCGACGCTGGATTTACAAAGCTGTCGCTAGACCAGTTCTGCTGCATGGAGGAGCCTGCTGTTAGTAATATGACCGACCGCAGCAACACCGAATGCAAAGCGTTATTAATCCTTTAGATCCTGGTGTTTGTTGATTCTTCCGATCTATTTTGGAATAAATTTCGTTCGAAAAATGACAAAGCCGAAACTGGTCTATCGCCAAATAAAATTTGACAAGGTTCCAAAATACATACATCGTCTTTTTAGATATCCTGGCACTGGATCTGGTAGCACAGCAAGGTTATATTGTTCCCCATCCAACATTGAAGGGAAGCACCCTTAGGTCTTCATTGACTCATTGTGATACTCTAATATCAGCTCCTTACAGTCTTCTTCTCCCTAAAGTTAAACCAAATCGTCGCTCTGATGAGGGCTTCAAAATTGTAGCGGAGCTCAGTACTGGCAGCCAGTCATAAAAGTATTGATTGAGTGAATGTCGGAAGACCCTCGCCGACACGGAGCAGTGATATATATAGATAATATTCCACTCTCTCAATTTCATCCATGTCGTAACAATTATGGAAGAAGGCATTCGACTGCAGACCCTTTCATATATATCCATCCATCCATCGAAGGTTATTGCCTTATGAGAAAACAAGCGCCACGTATATGGATATCGCCTCGTAGATACTTTCAAAACTGCAAAAACTGAGGGACGGTGGAGGAGTATCTGTAATTTTCCAGAAGAAGGTTGCAGCGGCTTCCTTTAACGACCTTTGTGGATCGATGAATAGAAATCTAAATTGTCTGATGGAATCTACCAGGCGGCCTTTAATGGTTTAGCAAGATTTTAAGTCGTAGTAAAGATCACAATGGGTCTTCAATTTTAAACCTAAGTATGTCGTTACCACCGAACAAAGTTTAAGGCACATAAGTTTATTAGGATGGTCCAAAATAAGTAAAGTCAGAATTTTGATGCTCTCACCCCCTAGAGTTGTTCTATAAAATAGTTGTCTGCCATATAAAACACATGGAAACCTTTGCGCGCTTTGAGCGACCTCTAAATATTTTTTTGATTTCAAAATAAAAAAACAGGGGTATATTTTTTTTGGTATAGAACAATCCTAGCATTTAGCATTTTTCACGTACATTTTTGGACCACCCCAAAATACACACATCAAAATTCTGGCCACCCTGATAATGGCACACAATACAATACGCATACATATTTACATTCAAATTTACTCCACAAAACAAACAAAAATCTACAAACCTTTTTGCCACACTTTGCCAGTACGAGGTGTTTGTGGCAAAAACATTTGTATATGCTAATTTTCTATCATAAATTTTGCTACGCAGCTGGTATTTTTTGCCGCTCATCTTCAAACATTCGCACACAACTTGTACGGTTACTTTGATTTAGTACGTTAACCGACGAGTTTCAAAAGCGTTCAGCAGCTGATGCGCAAATGTGTGAAGAAACAAAATAAAAAATTGTGAGGTACGCTGCTTTTTCGAATGATATACGGAAGAACGAAAAGTGATTTACAGAGTTTTGGAGTTCAATGATGCCCTGCGAACATTAAGCGAAATGTGTCTATACAGTGGTATGTGAGAAATTTTTGGCAATGATATGAAAACAAAATCACTTTAGTTATAAATATAAATCTTGTTCACTCTTGATAAAATTGTTTTTAAGTTAAAGTTCTAACTCCCAGTTTTTAGTCAAGTTCAAGGTTGCCTATAGTTTGTTCATTCTGCACGCTGTGGTCAACAAAAAAAATCAATATCATTAATCACTTCTTAATTCACTTTCGTTTAGTTAATAGCACTCTCTTTTGTACTTTATTAGCTAATAGTTCAGACATTCTCGTCAATACATACATATGTATGTACACACATCGTGCATGCTATGTATCTACTCTCATGCATGCATACATAGTATGTAGATGTAAAAAAGTCAGTTCAACCGACAAACGATTAAGAGATCTTATTGAACATTAAAAACCAAGACCAGAATGGAACATAAAATTATAGCAGTGAATACGGAGAGCCTCAAGCATGCCAAACGTAATGCCATATAATTAAAAATCCAATATCCATTAAATGTTAAAAGCTGTTGTGTCGCCTTTAGATAATAGCCTAACTCGAAAATGCCAGCGCATTATAGGGTGAGAAGATTTTCAATGTTACATATGCATTTACCAATTAACTAGTTAATAACAAATATAGTTACAAAATAGATAAAACATTTTCTAGTTTGGACTTTTGTGCTTTTGCCAGCCGATAAAAATTTGGTTTAAAAATTCCCCATCCTGCATTTGCTTGAAGTACGCCCTAACTCAGTCAATTTTCCAAGAACGCCCTACCTCAATGCAAATTCAATATATCTTCAGCTGGGATAGGGCGTCTTTGAACCATTTGTTGCGACAGGGCGTTCTTCAACCAAATTTTGACAACGGTCATTTTTAAATCAAACTATTACATAGAGCGTTCTTCGACCAAGTTTTGAAATTGCATGTCCAATGCCGACTAAAGCCCTAGAGACCTTGCTCCATTTTCTACCTGTGGCTGATCGATTCTCCTATTAATCTACATGCAGTACCTATAGGCCAGGCAGCTATCAGAGCACTTAATTGGGAATGTAGACGCACTCTAAATGAGCTGGCAAGAAGTTACTCTACTCAAATTGTATGCGGGCCAGGTCATAGGGACATACCGGGCAACTGTGCTGCGGACGAGCTGGCACGGAAAGGAACCCTACTGTCTGCGATCATTACCGCTCGTAATGCGGGAACTCCGCTGTCTTCTCGTAAACTCTGGCTGCATAATAACTTTATCGAACGGGCAAATGCAAAATGGGCTGCGGAGCCCACGTGCAGAATAGCGAGACACATCTGGCTTAGGTTAGATAAGCGTAGATCTCGCCCTCTTTTCCGTTTGGAGCGACCAATGCTCCGCCATGTTATTGGAATTCTCACCGGGCACTGACTTATGCGAACCCACGCTGCCAGGATTGGTTTGCAGCCAAACGATTACTGTCGTAGCTGCCGCGATGAGGAGGAAATCGAAAGCGTGGAGCATAACCTATGCTACTGTCCCGCTTTGACAAGGGCTCGTCAACGTGCGCTCCTTCGCTATTCTTTGAGTGTCTGGGTGAAATGGACCCGGCAAGTAACTACGATTTTAAACGCTTCATCAGAGCTACAAATTAGTTCAATTTCTGGAGTAGGAGGAGGGACGCTAAGAGTCTCTAATATGGCAGCACAATGAGCCCATGGAGGCCTAAATGTGCCTTGTATACGTATATATTTACTAATTTCATTTCACATAGGCATTATTTGTGGCAAAGACTTGAGTGCAGTAGTGTGCTGCGCACTTTAGATTTACCTAAAAAAATTCCAGGAAGTAAAACATTGCATTGCTGAAATTAAATTAAGATGAAGTAAGCAAATGAGCAAATTTGTATTTAATATTAGTGCAGTAATATACATCATTATAATTAAAATTAATGCTACTATAAGTTTGACAGAAGGTTATTCACACACATTTTATTATACGCCCCAAAGTGCTAACTGGCCACTGTCTGCTGCTCGCTCGTCTTCAATGAAAATATTTCATGCGACTTTTTCTTTTGTTTTAAGTAGCTTCACAGCTACTAATTTGTTAACTTGGTCAGTTACACTGCTGACCTACAACTAGATATACAAATAAATTGTGGGAGTTGTGCGAAGTCGTTTGTTCCTCTTCAGTGCACAGCGTCAGCTAGACTCGCTTAGACTGCTTTACGCATTTTGCTAAATTATGGTTCCATTGTGATGTGGAGTGTAGTATTGTTGTAGTAGATCAGAGTTTTTTATGTTTTCAAAAACTTCTTACTACGAGGAAAGGGCAAAAGAAAAATGTATTTGCATGCTTTGAAAAAACCGCGCGAGCCATTTACTAATATAAAATAGAAGACGATAGCCAAATTTGGCACAGTTTTCCGGCAGCAGTCACATTAGCACCATTACCAAGAAACGAGATCAAAATGAGGAGATTTGTAAGTTTCCCACAAAGTGAAAAAATAATTCTTGCAATTTTTTAATACATCCTTAATAAATGAATCCCCTTTTCCTACACAGTCTGTATTGCTCGCCACCATCCTCGCGCTGGTGGTCACGGAAGCGCGTCCCAGTCTAAAATATCTACCAAGTGTAGCAGAGCATGTGGAATATACGCCCACCGTTGTAGGACACACCGTACACTCCGTGCCCACCGCAGTTTCGCATCAGAGTCAAACGATTGTACACGAGAAACGTCCCTACCTGCGTCCCATAGTGGAACATACGCCAATCATCAAAACATACACGCCCATTGTGAAGACCTACTCGCCCATTATCAAGACGTATACGCCCAGTACAAGCGTCGCATGGCCGCCAGTTTCATATGCACCTGTGTATCCATCATCAGCACACTTGGGTTTATATGATGGCTGGAGTTCGCCCAGCTTGAAGAGTGTTTATGGTGGTTGGAGTTCAGGTTGGAAGCCAAGTGTAGCCTATGAGGATTGGGATGCATGGGCGCTTAAAAAGTGAATACTACATGCTAGTACAAGATGGAGAGTTAAGTGAAAATTTAGTGTCAAATGAAATGTTAATGCTTAATATTGTAACAATGAAAATGTGATCGAACTAAAGTTAATTTGTACGACTACTTACAAGCGCAGTGAATGAAACTTGAAAGACCACAAATCGCGTTTTCGTTCAAAACCAAAAGGAAAATAATATTGAAGATCTTAATTTTCTAACAAAGCCATTCTGAACTAAAAATGGTTCGGAGAGGCACTGCGCTATTTTTACTGAGCTGGTGGTGTTTCTAAAGGCCATTTTCAACAGCCATATTTGCTTCAAGACGTTCGCCATAGCCGATTGGTTAGAGCTGCCTTCTTCCACACGGTGGTGTCTAGGTTCGATTTCTATTCCGAGCAATAGCCAAACAAAAGGTTTCTTCTAATAGGGGGCAGTCCTCGGCAGGCAATAGCAAACCTCCGAGTGTATTTCTGCCATAGTTAAAATAGCTAAGAGTTGCTAAATACTGTGATCTAAAATAGCCCCAAAGGTCCACAAATCCCGATATAGTCCTGAAAGTCCCAAACAGTCCCGAAAATACCGAAGTAGTCCCAAAGACCTGAAAAAGTCGCGAAAATCCAAAAATTCTTTTTTTCATGCTAGCTAAAGAGCAAGTATTTAATACTAAATCAAGTCATAAGAACTGAGCACTTTTGTATTCAGTATTTAGTGAAGCCAAGGTATCTAAGTACTTTTGCAAACGATGTTTCGTTAGGTGCAACTAACTACAGTTTTGCTAAGTGTTTTCCTCCAATTTATGAGCACCGTTTTACGCGGAACGGCAAATGGATTTAATGACAGCCTTTTTCTTGTCAGAAGGACGATCGCTATTTTAAAACAACTTTTTCCTAATTTAGATGTTGCTCAGACCAGGGAACGAACCCAAGTCCTGCGGAGTGGCACCTACTTAGTATTTAGTGCTGTGAAAATAAG